GGCGGCGGCGGCGGCGGTGGCGGCGGCGGCTCAGGGGCGCGGGGCGGAGGCGGCGGGCGGCCGGGGCGCGCGCAGGGAGCTGCGCCGCATTTTGGAGAAGTATTTATAATGCAGCGGCGCCGGTGCAGTCGCGGCGCCCGGGGTCCCGCAGGGTCCTAGCGTCCACTGCATTGGCTGCCGAGGGTCACCATGTGATCTCGCGGGTGGGAGCAGACGCCGCCTCCGCGCTCGCCCGATGGCACACTTGGGCGCTGCGCGGCGGCCGGGTGCGGGCGGCCGGCGGGAGGGCGCCTGGGTGGGGGTGGTGCGGGCAGCCCGGGGCACGACGGAGCGGCCGAGCCCCGCGAGGTGGCCAGGGACGAGCGCGAGCGCGAACGGGGTCCCCGGCCCGGAGGGGGCGCTCCGTGGGGGCTCCCGGTAGGGCGCCTCCCGCCCGGCCCTTGCACCCCCGCACCTCCACCCTTCAGCGCGGGCCTGGGAGCATCGGGTCCTGGGGCCGCGCCGCTGCAGCCCGGGGCGCCGCGTCCTCCTTCTCTCCGGCCGGCCGCCGGGCGCAGTCACCGAACCATCTCCAGCTCCAGCTCCCTCCCCTTTGTCTGAAACGCGACGCCGGCCCCGGGCCCCGGGGAGGGGCTCCGCGGCTTCCCCCGCCTGACGCCCCTGGGAACCTGCGCCCGGGGCCACACGGGCTGGACGCGCGGGTACGCAGTCGCAGCGGAATGTGATGCCTAGTTCGTCCTCAGCCCCCCGCGTCCGGGCGCAGCACAGCAACCTTCTGCTCCGACACCGAATTCCGGCATCGGACACGGGGGGCGCTGGGCCAGTAGGACCCCTCCTGGCTCACCACCCCCCCGCCGCCCTCCTTGGCCCGCGCATGCGCTCCACGATCTCGGTGCAGGTGCGGGGGGGGCGGGGGGATGCTCTTGCTGAGTCTTGCGGGTCCCCGCGAGCCCTACCTGCCTACTGACGCTGCGGGCCGGGGGCGGGGGGTGAGCGTGAGGGTGAGGGTAGGGGACAGGTAATCCCAGATCCCTCCCCTAACACTTTATGAACCCAGCCCCCTGCCGCTATGCACCCCTTCCCCGCGTCGCCCCGCATCGCGTCGCCCCGCATCGCCCCGCATTCCCCGCGGTGACCTCTCAGGGCAGCCTGGAGCTGAGTTCACCGGCTTGGCTGGAGTCGAGACCTAGGGGACCAGGCCTAACGACCCTCTGCCTGCCTGGAGCCCAGAGAGGCAGCTACCATCACTTAGAGGCTAGGATGAGGATGACCCCTCGCCACCGTCACACCAAGGGACCCGGGCAGAGTAGGGAGGACGCCGGACCCAGGAGCTGAACTAGTCCACAGCCAGAATCGCCAGTGCAAGGACCATGGTGGGAGGGGGCCGCCAAATTGGGAAGTCACCCCACGCTGTATTTCCCAGATGCCAGGATTTGTCTGGGGCCTGGCTGTCATCTTCCAGGAGTGGAAAGTGAAATCACGGAGAATCTCAAAGGAGCATACAGATCCATTCAGAAACCAATCCGCGTGCTGCCTGAACGCTGAAGGGAGCCTGACCAGCCATGGCAGACCCGGCTACCAGCGTCCTGAGGTTGACCAGGTGGAGAGCAGACGTGTCCCAGCAAAACCAACAGCAGGAAGGGGGTCCAGGCAGGAAAAACAAGTTATGGGGAGGGGTGGCTCCAGTGCCTGAGGAGTCAAGGGGCTTCAGACGAAGGGGAGATAGGGCTTTGGATGTGGGCCTTGAGCACCAGATCAGGGATTCGGAAACACTGTGCTTTTCTGTGATGGGGGCCAGAAGGAGGGAGGACCAGGTGGAGGATCTAGGAGCTCCTGGGCAGTGTCCTGATCCCTGACCCCTGACCCAGGCATGGTGTGAAGAGGCTGCTCCCTGCAGAGTGGCCCTGCCCCTAGAGGGCCACAGCCTCTGCTGGAGACCATCCGACCCACCCACCCCCAGACCCTGAGCTCGAGGCTACCCCCACTCTGGCCCCCAACAGTCAAGCACATAGGTGGAGGGCAAGACCTGCATTTCCACTCAACCTGACTTTGGTGGGTCTTCTATCTGCAGAGGTCCCTTCCTCCAGGTGGCCTGACCTCATCTTCAGCCCTAAGTCTTTGAACCCCCCGCCCCCCAAGATAGCTTGGCTAGCCTAGCACTGCAGCATCCTGGTCTAGAGGGCCCTGGAGAGTACCCGGAGGAAATGGGGAGAAGTCAGCCAGACTCAGCTTGGAAGGGACAGAGCTGGACCCCAGGGACAGCCACCTGGAAGATGTTGGTGACCTCACAGCCTCGGCTTTAGAGCTCTGAGTGGAGGTGACCTTAAAGGGAAGGGAAGTCTGCCCAGGCAGCAGGCTCCCAGGCCCACCACTGAGCCTGTTCCCTCCCTGGTGACAGGAAAGCCATGTCCCCTCCCCCGCACTGCACTCTCTGCCAGCATCAGGAACCCATTTCACAGACAAGGAAACTGAAGCTGGGCTGGTCTGTTCTCTGGGTCCGGTCTCGCATGCATTCCTCTGGCTTCTGCTGCTCAGGGTCCCCTCCTCACCCACACCCTAGTCACCTGGGCAGCCCCGACCACCTGCAGTTCTACCCCACGCCCCCGCAGTCTGGGCTGGGTACCAGGCTTGGAGCTAGGCCTGGGCCCATGGCAGCGGGGCGGGTGCACCAGACCAGACCCCTCCCAGACGCCAAAGGTCCAGTAGGCTGGGAGCCCTGGGCCTCCCCTGCTCGGTGCTAGCGGTGGGTGCCAAAGACAGGATGGCGCGTTAGTGGAAAAGCCCTCATCCCAGGTGAAGAAGGGACCCATGGGATATCCCAGGGCAGACCTATGGGGTCTCCTCCGAGGACCCCGCGAGGGCCAGCCTGTCCCCTCCGGGGAAGAACTGGGGACTGCGACCCAAACTTCATCAGTGGTCCGAAGTACAGGGGGCCTGGGAAGCAACAGAGGTGGGTGGGAGCACTGGAGGAAGACCAAGGGGTCTCCAGAGAAGTGAACCAAAATACCAGGGGGTGGGAAGAAAAAAGAAAAACAGACCAGATGGGAGGCCCAGTGTGCAACTGACAGCAGCTGTCTAAAGAGAAAAGAGAAGGGAACAACCATAATATAATAAAGATTATTGTTTTAGGCTAAGGGCCCGAGACTCCTGATTAAAGCCTGCCCACCTTCAGTCCTGAGAGTGTCCTGGGGGGAGGAGGGAAAGGCTCCTGACAGGCACTGGCCACCAGCAGCTGGTGGACCCAAACTGCTCAATCTTCTCACCCAGAGCCCATGACCAAGCACTCATCCCTCCCTTCCACACAGGCTCAGTGAGTGTCCACCCTCTATCTGGGCCCTGAAAAGAACAAAGGTCTGTCCTCCTGAGGCTTTCCAATCCAGCAGGGAAGGGGCCAGAAATAAATAAAGGAGATCAAAGCTCTAGTATCCCTTGGGGACAAATAAACAAACAAAGCAAGGTAGGATAAGGAACTAAAAAGTGAGGTGGGTCATGGAGGAGGCCAAATGAGTAAATCCTTGGAGAGATGACAGCCTGTGCAAAGGCCCGGAGGTAGGAGGGGATATGAATTTAACATGCCAGCAAAAGATATTTTCAGACAGGCCAGCTCAGAAAGTTTACACACCACTGGGTTTTCTAGAAAGATACCGAGGACAAGCAACATGGAAAGAATGACAAGAGGTCTAGGAAGAAGTGACTCTAAGCCAGAAGAGTGAAAGAGGCAGTGGGGAGTATGGAGTACCCAACTTGCGGGGAGCAGCAGGGCCAGGGCCTGGCAGGAGGCATTGAGGTGACTTGAAGGTAAGGATGTGATAAAGGCAGACAGTGTGGGAACATTAAGGCAAACATCAAGTCCAGAAAAAACTAAAGCTCTCCTAAAGATAATGCACTCCCAATTCACTGCTTAGCTCCCCTCCCACAATTAACCCTGTTCTTAAGGTCAACAATGACCAGTGCTGCCAAACCTAGTGGTCCAGGCTTGGCCCTTCTTGACCTCAGCAGTATGTGGCACGATGACCCCTCCTTCCTAACCAAAGCCCTCACCTGCCTCAGCTCTCTTCATGCCTGGCAGCTGCCCCCTCTCCTCTAGGGACCCCTCCTCTCTGCCCTCTTAGTGCTCACCTCCACTCTGTCCACACCCAGGACGCAAGGGTCTCAGCCAGCACTTGTGTTCCTAAATTTCTCTCTCTGGCCCCTTTTCCACACATATCTGTCCAGTTGCTTTCCAGACCTCTCTGCTCAAGGGCCTAGGGCTGGCCTCAACACTAACACGGCCAGGCACGCCAGGCTCCAGGCTCCTCCACCAGCTACTGCAGGCTCTGTCTGGGGAGCTTGTGCTCCTACTTCCCTGCAAAGAGTATTCCTATGAGAGGCTTTCTGAAACAAGCCCTTGGCCGTCCCTGTCCTTCAGAGTAATAGAAACTCTATTTTGTGCCAGGCCTCATGGCTGCCCTTAAAATACGGGGTGCCCAGATAAGTTTAAATTTTGAATAAGTGAATAATTTTTAGTACAAATATCCTAAATACTGGTGGGACATACTTATACTAATGAGTACTTACACCAGAAGTACTTGTACTTTTAATTTATTTTTATTTTTTTAAAATATTTTATTTATTTATTTGACAGAGATCCCAAGTAGGAAGAGAAGTAGGCAGAGAGAGAGGGGAAGCCGACTCCCCGCTGAGCACAGAGTCCGATGTGGGGCTCGATCCCAGGACCCAGAGATCATGACGTAAGCCAAAGGCAGAGGCTTAACCCACTGAGCCACCCAGGCGCCCCAATACTTGTACTTTTGATAGGGGTAAGTATTCATTGGTCCTAGATCTGCATTTGCTAAATTGAACAACCCAGGCAGAGAACGCGGTCCAGCCCCACCTCCCCGGCAGCCGAACGGCCACGTGACGGAAGCCAACCAATGGAACATCAGCACCGTCGGGGCGGGGCCCGGGAGGGAAGGCACCTGCCCCCGTCCGCCCTCCGCTCCTTTCTGGGGCCCCAGGACCGAATTCTGACCCCTGCCATCGCGTACCCCGCTCACTTCCAGCACTGAGGGCTGGTCTGAGCTTCACATGGCGTCGGCACTCCCTCGTCTCTCTCTGGCCTGCTTTAGAGTTCACAGGCATCCGCACCGCCAACCTCTAGCTCAACCTCCCACCACGACCAAGGTAGGACTCTGGTTTGTTCCCCGTAGTCCAGACACGCGGAGCGGAAGCTGCATGCCTGGCGCCTCTAGGCAGAAAAGCCCAGAAGACAGGACGGGTCCCAGGGTGGGAGCAAGGGCAGGGCAGGTGCTGTGGGGCTGAGGCCTGAAGGAAGTCTCTGGGTAAATGTGCGTGAGCCGGGGGGTGGGCGATCCTCCTCTGCTGCAAGAGCAGCAGGAGCGCCCTGCTGCAGGGAACACTCCAGAAAGGCCAAGTGTCCCACAGCTGTCATGTCCAGCCATGGCCCTGCCATGCTCCTGGAGGCTGCAAAGCATTGCTTGGATACTACAAAACATTGATGGAAGGAATGGAGGGACGGAGGGAAGGTTACCTGACTCCCCTGGAGGCCTCCTGCCCGGTGCTACACACACACCCGTGGATGAGTACCCGCCTGTTACTCACAGATGCAACACTTGTATTTGGGCCCAGATTCTTATTCCCTGGTGCCCAGGGGCTGGGCTGGGGCTGGAGGAGGTCCCCAGCAGGCTGGGTGGAGGCTGTGGGGGACCCGGCCAGCCCTCCCTTCCTGGAGAAGCCTTCCCTGGCTGCCGGCTCCTCCTGACTCTCCAGGCAGCCACTGCCGGCCAGGAGACATGGGGGTCCAGGTCAGAGCCTGCAGGGAGCTCCCCCTACAGCCATCCCCAACGCAGTGCAGAGGAGCCTGAGTCAGGGGAGAGCTCAGCACTGGCACAGCTGTTCCAGGGGCAAAGCCAGCTTCTCTGCTTTCCTGGCATCAAAGGAGAGGCAGGCAAGCGAGCAGGTGTCTGAAGGCGGACCTCCAGGGGCCACACAGTGCCAGCGGCTATAGGTCCTCATGCAGGGCTAGACATGCCTATCTGCTTAGCATCCACACTGGTGTGGCTCTCACGGAACTGCTGGGGAAACCAAGTCTCACACCAGGAACCCCCAGGGGCGACGCAGATAGGCTCTGGTGGCCAGAACAGGGAGACAGGACACAGCATGTGGGGCCCGTGTTTATTGATGGGGGAATAGTGGCGTGTGAGGGGCCTCAGCGGCCGGCAGGCCAGCAGGCACAGAGGGCCCGGCGCTCGGCCTGCAGCAGGAGGGCCTCGGTCTGCAAAGCAATAGGGGCAGTGAGGACAAGGCACTCCATCTGCCAGCTCCCGAGGGCACGTCATCTCCAGGTGGTACTGGCCGTACCCTCTCCACCTGTTCCTGAAATCTCAGAACCCCCCAAACACCCTGATGGTCAGACCCTCTGCTACCCTGGGGGCCTCTTATCCTCCCCACGCTCTTCCTCTAGACTCTCTGTGGTTTCTGCTGGCTCAGCTGTCCTGTCCTGGACCCAGTACATGCTCATCCCCAGCCTGGACTACTTCCCAGTGGTTCTCCTTACCCATGTGCTGCCTCTCAGGGTCCCCAAACACCATCCCCAAGATGGGCTGGGGCTGCTCCTCTCAGGGCCCCAGACTCAGACTCAATGAGATCCAGACGCTAGAAGCACTCCAGACCTCGATCTGGGCCCTGGGGAGCTAGCCAGGAAAGGGGACCTGGGTAGGGTCTTCCCTCCTTTCCACTTCTGGAGATTCTCCCGCATTCCGGAGAGGAGTACCTATCTCTGTCCTAAGTGAAAATTCCCTTGGCTAAGGCACAGTGAGGACACAGGTGAGGGTGGGAGGGCTCTGCGTTCCTCCCAGACTTGGGGGGGTGAGCCTCTGAGCATACCCATTCCTCCCCCAGGTGAGGCTGGGGGATGCGGAGTCTCCCAGACCACCGTGCCCAAGCTGTCCTTTCTTGCCCAACCCTTCCCACCTCGCACCCCTTTCTCACCCAGGGAAAGTGACCACTCTATCCGCTGGGCCTCATTGCCCCCTGTGGGGGGATGCTGAATAAGACTGGCGGTTCCTTCTCAGGTCCTGGCCTTGGGGCAGGGGGCACCCTCCCTCCAGGGGGCTGGAAATGCTCATGGGTGAGGCCTGCGCCCAGAATGCCCCTCCGAACACTGGAGCCAGATGAGGACAGGAAGAACATCGGCCAGTGCCACAGGTTGGGTCCTGGCCCCCCACCCCCAGGCAGCTGCCTCCCGGCTAGAGGGGCTCACCCTCGAGTCCAGGCTGTAGGCCGTCTTCCGAAGGTCCTGCAGGGCGCGCTGCATAAACTCGAACGCGTGACAGTCCACGCACGGACGGCCTGTGGGGGTGCGCATCAGCGCGGAGGGAACGTCACCCTAGCCCAGCGCCCCCCCCCCCAGCACCTCCCACCGAAGGGGCGCCCGGGAGCCCGACTGCGGAAGGGGCGCAGGGTCGGTGCTGGGAACAATAGGGAGGCACGGTGCTCTCGCACGCCCCGGTGGCGTCGGGGCCTCTTGGGGAACCTTCCGTGACGCACGTACTCTGCGCGGGGACCGCGCTCCCGGTGGCGGGCTCGGCGCGGGCCTGGAAACCCAACAGCGCCACGCTCAGCAGCAGCAGCAGCCACGGCGGCAGCGACCTCGGGAGCCTGCACAGCGGCGGGGGGGCCATGGCCGAGCGCAGGGAGCCGGGGCCGCCCTGCAGCGAGCCGCGGGGATCAGTGGTGCCCTCAGCGGGCTTCACCGACCCCCTAACCCGCCCGCAACCCCC